CCATATTTTACCAAATAAAGACAAACTATCCTTTCCTACAGCCTTTCCAAACAAATAGATGTACACATTTAAACACCCATACTTTCTATATAAGAGGTCTAGTGGATAAAATAGTTTCAGGTTTGAAACATCTTTTCCATTGTCATCATCTAACCACTTTTATCAATAATAATTCTGCATAAAATTGACATTTACAAGTACTAATATCTACATCAATTGATTATTTATTTAAAATAGTTATCTCTGATTTCACTGAAGACTCCTAGAGGACTTGCAGAAACACATATTTTTTATTTACCCTATAAGACAAAATCTAGTTCTGGAAAGAGCATGTATTCTGTATTTATAATCTTTAATGTTAGTATATTGATGTGCATAATTAACTACAGTGATTTTGCAATTTATAATATATGAATATTTGTAATATTTTGAGTATTCCACTTGAGAGTATTACTCTTGCCACCATCTGTATTAGAGGGAAAAAATGGTAGGGGTGGCCACAGGGGTGGCTAATGATTGGCTGTGGGTGGCCATGGCCACTCCTGGCCCACCATCTGGCTCCGCCCCTGCTTTAAAACTCCAGCAGGTGTCAGTATTCTGCGAGACAGTATCAACGCAGTATCAATACAGTTAGGGAATGTGTTGAAACACTCATTAACCCATCCCTAGCCTTTACCTTCTGTAAAGTTTAACCAGTTAACAGCGTCGCTCTCTAATCAGGAGGAGGAATCAGCAATAATTCTAAACCCACCTCACGCTCAATGTTAAACATACCTCTGCTGGAATCATCCGCCGGGTATCTGATCTCCTGAGTGATCTGCCTGCTTTAAATGTAAACGCTCATTACCTGTTTGGCTAACACAGTGTCTTCTATATATGGGAAAGAGGAAGAGTGCGCAGCACCATACTACCGGGGGAAAATGCACCGGCTACATAAAGACCAGACAAGAAGTCAAATTACACCTCATTTAAAAATAAAGTACAGGTAAGAACAGGGGCAGATTTAGGTAATTAGGGGCCCCAGGCAAAGACAGGCAGGGGGCCCTCTGAATTCAGAAATCAACTCATAAAACAGCCCCATTCTCCAGATAGAGAAATGTTAATAGAATAGACATCCATTATCTGTTCTAGGTTGTGTCCCTCTCTTCTTGTCCCTTTTCTTCTTGTTTTCCTCTCTATGTTTTGTACTCAGCTGACTTTTCATGCTGTCTCTAAAGGAATGAAAGATTTTTTCCAAGCACTAAGCTCACTTAGCTGATTGCTCCTTCCTGTGTTTCCAAAAAGGCCAAAGTAAATAACCCAGTCCTTCTTTTCACTGTAGACAAGCCATGATCTGCTTCTCTGTTCTCCATTTTTCATTTGGATGAAATAATAGCTGCATGAATCATGACAGCAGACAAGATAGAGGAGAGCAGGAGGCGGGGTTACCAATCTACTCGCTCTGGAGAGCAGAGTTCGCTGCTTTTAGATGTTGTCTCCAAAGCCTCCAGTAGCAGAAAAAAAGTCGCTAGATTTGGCACTAGGCGCTTTTTTGAAATCAAAGTGCTAGAGGGGTCTGAAAAGTCGCTAAATATAGCGACTAAAGCGCTAAGTTGGCAACACTGCTCTTTGCATGGTTTGTTTTCAAATGGTTTGCTGCAGGGGCTGCTCAGTGGAGCAGTGGGTAGAGCTGCTGCGCAATGCAGGTTTCAGGGTTCAATTCCTGGCCCGGGGTTTTTTCTGCCTGCAGTTAGCATGTTCTCCCTGAGCATGCATGGGTTCTCTCCGGGTACTCCTGCTTCCTCCCACAGTCCAAAAACATGAATGTTAGGTTAATTGGCTTCTCTAAAATCCCTCTCACCCACTGACATAATTAATGTGCACAAATAAGGAATAGTTGTATTAACTACAGATATAAACAGAGTTTTATGGGTCCCCCAGGAACTTGGGGCCCTAAGCAACTGCCATGTATTGCCTAATGGTAAATCCCCCCCTTGGTTGGAGAAGTTCCCAATATGAAGGTTTATCAGAACTAAACACAGGGAAATAATTCATAAATATACTGTGATGGTTTTTAATAGTATATTTGTATAAATAACATACGGTCAATTATTAACATTCTGATACACCTTTTAACCAAAGGGTTTGGTAACAAAAAACTTTTTTTTAATTACCAATATTTCCATCTGAACCAGTTAAATGTAAAAGTGGAAGAGATGTGGTACTAGTGACTCAGTGCGGAAGGTTTTCCAGCCTCTAAGGTGTTTACTACAAATGTACTTTCGGTCTTCCTCCTCCTACTCGGTGCTCTCCAGACATCTGCTGAGCACGCCCCGTGTTCTCACGAGCATGCACTGTCCACGCGTCGGCATCGCGCGCTGATTGGCTAAAAATGAGGCAAACAAAGATTTTCGACCAATAGGAGCGCTGATCACGCGGTGAGCCATGTCGTCCATACAGGCTGCACATGCTCAGCTGGGGAGGGCCGTATAAAAGCTCCGGGCCGCCTTTGTTTACAGTAAACGGAAGTGAAAGGTGCTGCTATCGGGTGTTCTGCTCTGAACGCAGCATTTTAACGGCTACAAGTTAACTGTTCGCTCGTGACAGCATCACACCGCAGCCATGGTAGCCATGGCCAAAAGGGTTAAAACCTTCCAGATTACTTTTGCGGATTCAGGCAAGTCTTTTTACTGCGGCGGGGAGAGGCTGTGTGGCCGCATAGAGGTGGAGGTGAGCGAGGTGACCCGGGTGTCTGCCATGAAGGTGCTGGCGCTGGGCTGCGCTAAGGTGGAGTACGCTAAGGGCAAGCAGCGGTGCCGCCAGGAGGCGGAGTACCTCCGCCATGAGGAGCTGCTCCAGCTCACCGAGCAGCCTACAGGTTCGGACACATTCATCACATTTTATATTAACATCCAGGCTTCTTAGCTCTGCTGTTTAATGCAGACAGTTAACCTGAATCATAGCCCCACCCTCCATAAGAGGGGATGCTGTCAATCATTAACACCTGGTAATAAAACTAAACTTCTTCTACTTGGCTTTATAGACTCGGACGGATCCGTTGTCTTACGACCTGGTAACAAATACGAGTACAAGTTTGGAATTGATCTTCCTCAGCAAGGGTGAGAGTCTCTACCTGGATCTGTGTGAATCTGTCCCTCTAGTCTCTAACGAGTCATTTCACAGGCTGTACTTTCGGTTTCACACTCATGTCTCTGCTCACAGGCAGCTGGTGTCTTCATACAAGGGGAAGTTCGGTTATGTTCACTATTATGTGAAGGCCCTGATGGAGAGGCCACAGCAGCCCACCCTGGAGTGCAAGAAGTGCTTCGAGGTGGAGGAACCTCTGGATGTCAACACACCTGACCTGCTGGTGAGCTCACAGTTAGTTAGTTAGTTAGTTAGTTAGTTAGTTAGTTAGTTAGCCATTAGTTAACCAGACAAGGGAAGTTAGTCTAAAAAAGAAAAGTCCACTTATACACATCCTGTTAACCTTATGTCTGTATGTTCTGGGTACATTCAGAAGAGTCATTTAAGCTCATAACTTCACATTTTTAATGTGTTTTCTGGGCTGCTTAAATTCCACACCGTGGAATTTCTACCAGATTCTGGTAGAAATGTTGTGTCTGATTAATCAGAACAGGTCGTGGTAAATACAATTTGTCACTTTACAAACCAACATGTGTCTGGATTTAATCTGTGTGCCTCATAAATATTCATCTAAACCTTCTGATTTCCTAATATATCATGAGGTCCACAGTTGAGGCTCTGGAAATCTGTGATTCTAGGAAAGGATGGTTCTGTTAAGCTGTACACACAAACTTTGGAAGAGCAGTAGGGCCCTATAAAATCCGTTTTAATTTTTTCCCAAATTCCATTTTTTCGTTTAAATTTTTTAAAGTTCAGTTTTTTCCGTTTTCTGTATGTATATTTGTGCTTCCAATCAATGGAATGTTGACAAAACTTGCAAAACAATAGTTGACCTGACAGGTAAAAGTCACGAGGGAACTGCTCGGCTCTGTACTCGGGGATAAGCGTCTTGGTTCTTAACATTTTCGCAGAAAGCGGAGCTGTGGAGAGCCGCTTCGCCATTTTTTCAATGTTTTTTATGGGGGAGGGTGAGCGGAAATGACGGAGCAGGAGGGGTTGTGTCGTACGTTCTTCGTACGTACGTTCTTCTCCCACACAAAAACAAGAATTTAATTTCAAATGTAGAAATTCGGCGTTTACACTAGATTCCGCGTAATTTGCCACTTCCGCGATTCCGTTTGTGCAGAAATTATAGCTCCGTAGAGCAGTCATCCTATCTAAGTTCGTGTTAGAACTTAGATTTATTTATTATTAGGGAAGCAGGAGGGTTTTTTTTAAATCCAGTGAACGCCTGAGACTCTTTGCCCGTAAAATTAGACTCAAAACTCATCACCCCTCTTATTGCGTAATACTCCTAGCTGTTAACTTATTTTATGTCATATTCTAACTCTTTACAACTGTTTTACGAGCCTGGATGACTGCTTTTATTTACTTGCACTTTGAAATTTAGGCCAGGTATGAAAAATAACAAGTAGAGCTTATTTTTGTTTGTCATCAGTCCCCTGCAGGCGGCACTAAGGAGAAGAAGGTCACCATCATGTTCATCCCTGACGGCCAGGTGTCGCTGAATGCAAAAATCGACCGGCGTGGATTCTGCGAAGGCGAAGACATCTGTATCAATGCAAAGTTTGAGAACACTTGCTCCCGGATCGTGGTACCCAAGGCTGCCATCATTGCCAAACACATCTACCAGGCCAACGGCCGCACCAAAGTCTTCCGACAGAAGCTGTCCGCCGTGCGTGGGAACCACATCATCTCAGGCATGTGCGATGCCTGGCAGGGAAAGACCATCAGAGTGCCAAAGATCAAACCATCCATTCTCGGCTGCAACATCATTCGTGTGGAGTATGCGCTCATGGTAGGTCTGCTGCATCCGACTGAATGGCTCTAAGGATTTTTTGTTGTTGTTTTTTGGAGGAGAATTTTCCTAATCTGAGTATTTTTCGTTCATTTGGCAGATTTATGTCCACATTCCTGGTAGTGAGAAGCTGATCCTGGAGCTGCCTCTGGTTATCGGGACCGCTGGTCTCGGTAGCCGTAGCAGCAGCGTTAGTAGCCAAGAGGGTTCATTCAGCAACGCGTCTCAGAGTTGGGTGTCCCTCAGGATGTCCTCTCAGCCTCCCAGCTACTGTGACATCACCAAAGACTGCCGCCTTGACCAGCCCCTCACGCCGCTGCTGGACGACGTCGACTGCGATGACAGTCCCATCTTCATGACCTCGTCGGCCTTCCAGTTCCCGTCGCCTCCGGCATATTCCGAGGTAGGCGTCTCAGACAGGTCGCCTCGGTTGCTTTGCTGAGGTTAAATGCAGCTACAGCAAATTTAAACAATACTTATTTCTGATTGTTTTTACTTTCTTGTTCCAGGCGGATGAGGAGTGCAACGGGAATCCACGCATGCTGCCTGTCTGCTGAAGCTCATCTATGGGAATTCTAGAGCTTTATTAAAGCTCTCATGGACTCTTCTTGTAAGGCACTTAAAAAAGAGTGAGGCGCTCACACCGGAGAAGATGGGATGGCGGATGTAAAGCCAGAGATGTAAAGAAAGAAAAGAATTATAGCCTTTCAAAGCGCTTCATCACCTATGCTGATCCAAAGTCTTCCGTCTGGTGCTGAAATGCCAGACCTGAGTACGCAGATTCTGCGGCGCAGGACGTTTCTGCGAGGGCTGTCCCTCCCTTAGACTCTGATTACGTATCAGACGTGTTTGATCCCAAGCCTGCTGAAACACCTTTAATCATGAATCATTCCAATCAAATCCTGGGTTTTAGATAGAAATCATAGGAGGTCACAGATCTGTTCATTACTGAGCAGATCTTAACCGGGTGTAAAAGAACCTAAAACGGCGTTCTTATTTCCATAGATATCAGTGTTTTAAGAGTATCATTTATTCCTTAACTTGAGTCACTTTTCTTTGTTTTGTACCACTACTGCTGAATTGACTTGTTTGTGTTTGTTTCATATGAAAAGCAGGAATTTTTCCAGGGGAAGAATCCACTCTGTTAAAGTATATCTGATTTCCACTCATCACTGCAAAGTTGCCAAAAGTGATCAGAGCAGCAAAAACATGTTCAGATTTCTTTCTTCTTCAGCACCTTAATGTGCAGTTATCTAAGACGGCATTTCACCGTAACATCTGATCTCTGCTTGTTTGACTTCTGAACTTTCAGGGCCCAAAATCAGTTTTTTTTTATACTTGTAATGCCTTGTCTGTACATGAGTTATTTTTGTATGGAACCCTATGGGTCATTTTTTTGATAAATAAAGAAAAGAGAAGGGAAAAAAACGAGTGTTTATTCTTTCTTCAGCAACTATTGGAGCTTTTTGATGTAATTTAAGCTGTTCAAAATCACTAAATTAATACTTATTCACTAGTTTCTCCCGGTGCTGTGAGTCAACGACACCTGTGCAGCATGATTATTTATAACAATTTAGGTCAGAACTTCCTGCTAAGAGAATAAAGACATTTTGAGAAAACTTAATATACCATACTTTTCAGACTATTAGCCGCACCTGAATATGAGCCGCAGAAGCTAAATTGCATGATTTGTACATATACAAGCCGCAGACATTTTTTATGTTTAATGTCCGCCTTTCTCGCACAGTCAGAGAAACAGGACTACAATTGCATGATATGTACATATACGAGCCGCACCAGACTTTTATTATGTTTAATGTCCGTCTTTCTCGCTGTCGTTCTGTCTCGTACCACTCGCGGTAGAAGTCTGCTTCTGGAGGACCTCCGCATTCCCGCGTGCGCGGCTACCGTACTTGTGTGTTAAAGGAAATGTGACGTCAAAATGGTGGATGGTAAAATCCATAGATTTAGGTATACCCTAGTGGCCGTTAGCTGTAAAAGTCCATAGATAAGCCACATTGTTATATAAGCTGCAAGGTCGAAAAATGGGGAAAAAGTCGCGGTTATAGTCCGAAAATTACGGTATACACTAATTTGCTCAAATTTAATCCTAAAGTTTTAAAACGCACATCAAACACACACTCAGTTTGGAAATAATGCAGCAAAAATGTTTCCTTAATTTATTTTAGGTGTAGGAATAAAACTAATTAGAATGTAATTCTGTTCATGGTCACCCAGTAGTGAGAACGAATGGAGAGAAAATTAGCCTAAGGCTTCGTTTGTCGCGTGTCAAAGCTGCACTTCAGGCATGACCCCATAGTTTACAGAATAACACAAATACCATAAACATCAAGGAAAATGATTTCTATGTTTACCAGTAAATACGCCTATGTGAAATTGTCAAACCTATTCATACTCCATGACATGAAACATCTCCCATCCGTGAGCAGATAGAATGAGAAGGTCACATTCACTAAAGAAAAAGGTATACTTTTTAAATGTTTATCATTTTTTAAAACTGCCATTGTTCCAGCATGTAGAGACTATACATTTTCTCTTGTATGTGCTTATTAATGTCAGGTTAAATCTCTCTTGTATTCAGTTTCAATTTAATTCAGTTTATTTCTATAAGCGTCAATTCACAACACAAGTCATCTCAAGGCACTTTATAGTTCACCAGATCATCCAGTCAGATTGATTCTTTCTAAGGAAAACCAGTTGATTGCATCGACTCATTGACTCTTCAGCAATCCCTCACATAAAGCATGCTTGTAGCAACAGTGGAGAGGAAAAACTCCCTTTGAACAGGAAGAAACCTCCAGCAGAACCAGGCTCAGTGTGAGCGGCCATCTGCTGAGGCCCACTGGGGTTCAAGGAGACAGAAGCAGACATAGAAAAAGAAGCATAGATACAAAAGGCAACTGTCAACCAGCTCCACAGGCGGCCCCGTCCAGGAAACACACAGCCAGGCAGACGAGCTCCGAGCCAGCTCCCATGTCAGAGGATGAAGAGAGCACATCCAGTTAGTCACACAGAGAAACAGGACTACACTGGAAAACAGGCCGATCTATAAACAAAGGTGTTGATGGCAGCAGCACAGCTGATATTTCTCTCCAGGATGGAGTCACAGCCAAACAGGAACAGACCAGATGTGTGACTACGAATACAATATACCAAATTCCTGATGAAGATCTGTGACAAAGACGTTTAACAAACTGTACATTTATAACCATTATAAAAAAAAAATCCAACATGCTGTTACTACATTTCAACCTACAGAGGCTAAATCAAGAGTTTAGAGTCAAATTTACAGAATTCAGACAAACATGCAAAATTTGAAGAGCAAAATAAAGACAGCATTATTAAGGTTCAATGTCTGTTTATAACATTTATCCGTGGTTTAGTTGCTCTTTAAACATGCTAAAACTGATTTAAAAATTAATAGAACTTCTAGTAGCAGACAGAAATGTGGGTTCCTGATAGCAGACGTGGGCAATGGAACACATCCAAACACCATCAGGGGCATTTTCAACCATGAAAAACGAGGTTTAAATGGTCCTAAAACAATCTGAGCTTTGATTAAACTGGCAGTAGTCCTGCACACAGTCAGCAGGCCTCACCCTTGTTTTTCATTATTTTAGTTTTTTGCAAGTCTGATCCTGACTCTGTTGCTGACGTTCTCGCATGGCTGAGAGCAACAGATAAGTCGAGTGTTTATCTCACAGCCGGTCTCTGACGAGAGTTTGCTTTCTGTGCCTCATACTCCAAGAATGAAAAACAAGCAGAAAAAAAGAGCAGATCTGGACAAATATCTTATGATTAGTTTATTACTCCACACATTCAGTAAGTGGATCTAGACAAAATAGTGTTGTAGCTATTTAGCTTGATCATTACTGATATGACATGAGATTTTAAAATGGTGGATTTTAAAAGTAATTTATGGACATATTCTTCAACAAAAAAAGCCAAGAAAGAAAACATTTTCAGTCATTTGTGCAGTTTAGACACATTTTTCTCTGTTACTGCAAATCAGCATAACATGACCACTACAAGTTATTTTCCTCATGTTGTTTATTGTTTGTTTGTGGGACATGCTTGGCAGAACTAAGAGATTTTCTAGTCGAAGTCGTTATTTGAAGCAAGATAAGTGGACAGCATGTAGGGATTTGCCCCTGAAACCCACCGGCGAACTGTTTTAAAGCATTTACAAATAATAACTCAGAATGCATGAAAATTACACTGTAAAATGTTTACCAATATAGATGTTAGACATCGCTGGAAAGCTTAGATTCTCCACAATTCAACACAGTGAGCAACAAAGCACAATTAATACAGATATAGTAGCATGTCAACATGTACCACAACAAGCAAGCATGTCTTTATAACTGCTGTTCAAAAAAGACCTATTATTTTCAACATACATACACACACATGTATCACACATGTAATTTGGGCTCACAGTTCCTAAGTTATTTGCTTTTCGATTTGGATATGCAAAACAGACCAGAATTTCCCAAAATGAGGTGGATATTTAGAGGTTAGAGGTGTGGGCTGCAGCTATTGTTGAGTTTTCCTGCTCCATGGAGGTCATTTTCTTTCAGAAAAGGTCCACTGGAGGAACAGTGACACGGTTGCGGTCTAATGATGCTGTAGGCCATAAAGGTTGGTGTTACAACCAACGAGAGAGCTGCTGGTGCTCAATCTGTTGAAGTATGTCTGAGAGCTACCAGAGTAAACAGTGAATCAAATTTAACGTGAGGGCTGCAGACTATAAGGATCTTTGGATGCAACAGGTTAATATATTGTGTCAAAAAAGGAAGGAAATGATTTAGATGGATTGAGGCGTTCATTACGTTTAAAACAATACACATCAAAATGAAGCCTAGGTTGAAGATCAACTGATTGGTTACCCTCATGCAATCAGAGGCACATTCATTTGTGAAGTAGTGGTTAATCATTTGATCACACCTGCTCATCATCCAATCAGCATCCAGAGTTCGGCCTAAAAAACTTTTAAATCAAAAGAGAGGAAAAGGTTCCTTTGTGGGTCATTTCAGAACCAGAAACTGTTCCTCTCTTGGTCTGTTCAGAACCAGGAGAGGAACAGTTTCTGGTTCTGAACCTGTTCCTCTCTGGGTCATCTCAGCAGCACAACCTGCTATCAACAAGCATCTGAGTTGGCTCACTTGTCGGACTGATTCTCCACCATCCTTGGAAGCTCCATCTGGCTCCTCCTCTGTGCTGCTGGTTGCTCCTGTTGAAGTAATACCTTAGACTCCTACTGCTTCATCCCCAGGCAGAAAGCCACCATGTTGAGCCTGGTTCTGCCAGAGATTTTTTTCCCCTTGGGGAGTTTTTTCACTCCACTGTTGCTCTATGCTTGCTCATCATGGAGATTCATATGAATGTGCACCTTGTTCCATCTGGCGTCCATCTTCATTCCAACACCAGTTTCAGGCACACGGGGCTTCATCTCTGTTCTCATTTAGCAGCTCCTCCATATAATAAAAATAAATTCCTTTGTTAATGTTAACCGCTGAGGCCTGAGCACCAAAGTCTTTAATTTTCCCTTCATCTTTGTGAGTTTTTCAAGTGATAATCTCGCTAAGCCTTGTCGTAC